GCATTGACAGCTAATTGGCGTACACCACTATAATTTCTCCCCCCCCCACCCCACTGAAAGCTAATTGCCCTCCTATATCTGTCGCTATCTCCATCTGTCCACTCTACGTCAGCTATGAATGTGAATCCGGATTTATGCTATTCTGAGTAATACATGTTTGGGCCCAGAGGACATCATGCTCTCCATTTCATTTCCACGCTCTCACCTCCATCCACCAAAAGATGTGTCTCTGATTTCACTCCGAGGATTACGATGACTAGTAAAGTTGCCGATAGATGGCGTCTGTCAATGGCGAGACTGCCAATGCTAGTGGCCATACCTACTAATAGCAATACATTATATTGTAATCCAACTACGTGAAAGTACATGGTGACCAAGTGCGTGTGTGTGCAAAGGTGCAATCAATTGTAAGATTATCGTAGTTGTGAGTTTGACGAAAGTAACCGGGGAAGTGACTTACCAATTCCGGAATGACAATATGCCATAGGGAGGCCAGAGAGGTTGAGGAGATGCGGGAGATTAGAACGCGGGTGCAGAGGAACACTTGTGTGGTAATGGGCACCACAACGTCGGAGATGGCCCGCAGGTTGTCTGTGACGCGCTCTGTTGCAAAAGGAGGAGGAGGAGGGGGAGGAAGAATAAATGAGCAGCAGATATCAAAGAAAATACTGGCCTTGTGCTTTTCAGTGATTCTATCATCCACGTGCAAGGTAATATGGAGACAAAACAAGGGAAATTGGAGTTACCACTACTGCCAGCATCGTCGGGCACCCGTGATATGAGCCGGGACGACAGGTAATTAACAGTTCGACCATCGATTTCGATTATGTGTATTGTATGCTGCACAACAGGGACTGTGACTTGTGCGTTAACTAGTTCCAAGCGATGGTAGACATGCAGTAACTACCGCACTCTACCTTCCCTCAACCACCTCAGCCCGGTGTCAAGGAATGATCAAGAAGACTGGAGGCGGAATCGGGCGCAATGGCTGACAAGGCCGACGAACCCGTCTGCGCGCGCCACAGCGCGATCTGGCCTCGCTGACACACATACAGACACACTAGGATTCATTTATCAACGGGATTAGAAGCAGCCACCGTCTGACTCCCAGTCTACTCATCAGCCCTGCACACACAAACTGATGCGAGTTCCAGGGAACAGCTCAGAAGAAATTGCGACCCCTGGAACAAGAGGTTCATTTTCCTGACGTTTCGGATTCTGTAGAGAATCCTTGATCATAGGTAATCGTAGGATAGTCTGAGAGACATGCGCAGTGTCAGGAAACGCATGTTACAAATTAGAGCACATTTAAACATTCTTTTAGCATCCTTTTCAGCCTTATATAGGCATTTTGTGTAACTATCCCCTGGGAATTCAAATCCCGAGTTCGTAGTTGAAAACCGAAGACCACTTAGTACTTACAGTCAGTGCATATTTCTGGTTAGCGTGATTGTTTTTCGCTCGGCCGTCTCCTCCTTCAAGAGACTAAACTCTAAAAGTCAGGGATCCACGAGAAAGGAAAAAAAGTAGGGTGTTATATTTGTGTTTGTGGGTTTTTAAATGCGTCAACTGGCTGCCTCCTCAGCCACGGTAAACCCCGATGGTCTTTAGCTTGCATCACTCATTTAGCCTAGGAGCTGCATGCGGGAGAGGGCCTAAATCTTAGCATGCCATCACACGCAAGCACGGCAGCAGCAGCAGCTATAGGCCCACGTACGAAGGTTCAGCGCTACCGCATAGACACTCAAAGTAACTCGGTCTGACTACCGCGTTCGATCAACGCAGGCTACGTGTGCGGGCGGCTGGAAAGGGGGGGAGGTAGTGTACAATCCAGCAGCACCAGACGGTCAAAAGGCTCCCTGTGATGCTATCGCATGCTCGCGGCCTAAAGACGCTTTGACTTTGGTGGGCGCGGTACCTTATAATGAAAAGAACACGCTGAAGTGGTTTGGACACCTTCAACCTCGTGAACTCAGTGGTACTACTCCGGACCCGACTCCGTTACCCCATTGGAGACGTAGAAGAGAGGGTCAGCTCAAAACCTGGCTCGACTCAGTCCGTCAGGATATGGAACTGGTTATATAACCCTCGGTATTCGGCCTCCGGCGTTGGCAAAGAGAATGGACTGAACTGTCCAGGTCTGGTGACACAGATCATATGCCGTGGAAAAGTATCATCCGGGATATGATCAAGGCCGGCTAGATCAGTTAAGGTCGCAGTCGTAACAAGCAGGTAAGGTCCGGATGCGTGGGTGGGGGGGGGAGCGTTGCACAATCCAGCGCT